TGCAAACAAAGCAAAACAATTTCCTAAATACAGGAATAAGCTTTTGGTTCCCTTATCAGCCCAGCCCCACAAACACCATCATAGTCACCAGATGTCTTCCTGTAAGCAAGAACTGCTTGTATTTGTTTTCGGTACCTTAAAATGCTCTCATCTCCTTAGAAATATTTATAGCAGAAAAGCAAACAGTATCCAGGATGGAAAGATACAAAGACCATCAAGTTCCAGCATGGGGCATGCAGAAACTCATGCAGCATTGCCTTGAACAGCCCCATCTCTTTCAAGGACAGGTCTGAATTAAGTCTACCTCTATTTCCAAATAGATTCATCTGGCTAACCTGTTTGTCTCAATATGAAAAATCGTCTACAATGTCCCAGAAGTGGTTTTAATAACCTCTTATTGCTGCAGTAAATTCCTGCTTAGTTCATGTCCCTGTAGCTGCTTCTGCTGCCCTGTGAAAGCTGTAGAATTGTGTAGAGTTTCCATTCCTGCATAGTTCAGTACATTAAGGCCACGAGTCCAATGCCTCACTTTTTGTTCTTTGTTCCAAACAGCTTTGAGTTTGGGGTATTTAATCAGATTTTCTTAGGACTGAGCTGCTCATACCTATTCCTAATTGCATGGCTGTTCTTTTCTAATGTTCCCACGTAGGATGCTTTAAACCACATGAGAACAGCTGAGCCCCTGGATGTCCCTTTCATTGCCTAGATCTACCCAAAGTGATGTTTGTTACCTGGGGACAGGTTGCAATAGAGGTGACAAGGCAGAGCCCAGATTTCCCAGTTCAGACACACCACGCTGGCTTTCTAGTTGTCAGCACATGGTGAAATCAAGCCTGTCACATTTTCCCCTTAATCACAGCTAGATGTGTAGATGTGTGATATCACCTCACCTCCTCCCCCTGTCATAGGCCCACCCCCCAGGAAGTCTCACTGTAAATACAATTACTTGGTCCTGATGTTCAAGTTTTGCAATAACTCCTCTTCAATTCTTCACGTGCAGGTGAGGCTGCAGTGGTGGGTGAGGACAAAGCACCACGTTCTGTCATTTTTGAGATCCTGCAGAACGTTGTGACAGGACCAGCTCCTGCTGAGCAGACAGGGAGCAGAGCAGGACAGGCCTCAGTGTACTGTGGGAAGACCAAAGTGTTTATGGCCAACTCCGTGGTAAGTGTGGGCTGGTGGTTCTGGAGCACAGCTGCAGAATGGGCATTCTGGCACAGGCTGTCCTGGTGGATTAAGTGGATTAAACCTCTGCTAATGCCAGTGTGACCAGAAGTTGGCATTTTTCTTCATCACATTAAACAAAGTCAAACATCCATCAGAATCCAATGATAAGAAGCAGTTTAATGGGGTCCTTGTTGCTGATGGACAAGGAGCTGCACTTGTGCCTCGTGCTGCTGGTGTCTTCCCAGTTCAGTAGATTCCAGCTCTCCTCTGCTGACACTTGGCTGCTCTGACAGGCCTGAGCAGTTGCTTTGTGAAAGAGGAAGATGAAGGCCCTCTTGCAAAGCTTGCCTGCTGGAGGATGCAGCCATAGAATAACCCCCCTCAGGGGAGCTAGTTTTAAGCCAACTGCTCCTGTGACTTTGGGAGTGTCCACTTTTCCCCCTCACAACACTCTTTTTCCCCCTGATAGTTGTATTTTCCTTTGACATGTTATCTAATCAGCACTAATGAAGTGCTCTCGTTTCCAAAACCTAATCCAGCAGCCTCAGGACACTGAAACGTGCCTGTGGTTTTCTGACAAACCCCAAGAGGCTGTAGGAGAGGAGAGTGGTGAACACAACTCCATCCCCTTGCATTAACTGCAGGTTCCTTTCCCCACTGCAGCTGGAGCAGCTTGAAGCTAGAAGAGCAGTGGTGTTAAACCAGAAAGCATTCTGCATTCAGTGTTGCTGGAAAAGATTTAAGCAGAGGAAACTAGCCAGGGAGAGAAGATCTGCAACTGTCATCCAAGCAGGTAATCTGATAAAGGTGGGGCTGAACCTAACACTGGAAGTGTTACTGTGAAGTGGCAGGAGTGGTTTGGTTAACTGGGCATGGAGAAAGCTTAAGTGCCATCTCTCTTACATTGTGTGCAAGAGCTTCTGAGATTTTGCACTCAGGTTTGTTTGAATTGAATCTTCAGCTGTTCGCTGCTGGTTGGCCAGGAACCGCTTCCAAAGGATGCGCAGGGCTGCTCGAGTTCTTCAGCAGGGCTGGAGGAGATGGAGAGTAAGTACCCTGGCATGGGAGGGCATCAGAACTGGGGGACTGAGGCTCTGCAGAGTTTGAGAATCAGCTTCCATCAAGTAGCTGTCCAAAACTGGCAATTCTCTCTTCTTGAGCTGAAGAGATGAGTGTCAGCCTTGTACAGCTGCTTCTACAGAGTGGCAGTGTAGACACTGCAGAACAAACTCATTCCTTACTTGCATAGAACAGGAGAATATCCCAAAGGGTGTCCTATCCCTAAAACCACCCTCTTTTGTAGACTCTTAGTTTTAAATTCTGTTCAAGGTGTTTGAGATTCTTGTTCAGGAATATTGTTCTCTTCATCAGGCAAAAATGGCTGCGTTGGCAGCAGCGGAACTGGATGAGGGTGAAGAAAAGGCCTTCTTGGCTCCTGGAGCTACAGTGACCTCAGCCAAACTGCCTTCCTCCTTGGAAACCACGTGGCCTCTGCAGGCAGTGATTCAGTTCTGGCCTCTTGGCCTCGTCCTGGCTGCTGCTCCTGTCACTGTGCCGGGACTCCGCCGAGACCTGTCCCTGCTGGCGTGCCTCAGGGTGCTCCAGGAGAGCAGCTGCTGCAGGGTGGAGAGCTGCTCCCTTGGCTGTGGCATCACCTCCATCAGAGCCCTCCCACAGGTAACAAACCTCCTGCCCTCAGCCAGCACAGCTGGGCAGGAGCCTGAGCTCTGCTGTCGAGTCAGGTCTGCTCTCAAGCTGCAGTCCTCCTTGTTCCACTGGCTCAGAGATGTGAGGATGACTCTGCCATCAGCAGGCCATGACATGGGGCTGAGCTGAGACTTCCAACAAAGCATGAAAACTCCTTAACCTCTCTTGTAGGAGCAAACTGATCAAAGCTCTGCTTCAGAAATGGAGAGCAGAGGATTCCAGTCTGGGTTTGGCTGTTAGGTACTATGGATTTTTTATGCTTAGGGGACTAAATCTGCACAACAGGTTGCAACATGTTGCATGACATGAAAAAGCATCCACTCAGGGAGAAGCCACTGGGTGTATTAATAATAAATATCCCAGTAACTCTGTATTGACCTCACTGTGCAGACCACTGCACAGACCAACTCACACAGAGGATTTCCAGGGCAGAAAGCCACGAGCAACCCTCAAGTACTTCATCTCCTACACACAGTGGTCCTAGATCCCACTTACTACAAACAAGCCACAGCCCACACCAGCTTCTCTCAGAACCTGCACTTGGCTTACAAATCACCTTGTGCCTGTGCTTGGTTTTTTTTTGATAAATTTTGGAGGTGGCATAAAATGATGTGTGCAGGAATGTTGCCTGTGCCTGGTCACAGGAATTCGAGTAGGAAGAAGCAGTATCAAGTTCAGTGCTGACTAAATGCTCAAATCATCAGAGTTTAAGCTAGTTTCAGTTCAAATCAGTACTGTCACAGGAATTCGAGTAGGAAGAAGCAGTATCAAGTTCAGTGCTGACTAAATGCTCAAATCATCAAGTTTAAGCTAATTTCAGTTCAAATTGCAGTATCAGTACTCTTGGTAGTCATCATTTCTCTTCAGTCCATTTGTAGTAGGACTCCTCTGGAGATCTTCCTCAATCCCTGTTCACTAGTTGCTTATATACTAAAGCACTATGTAGTTTGAAGAATACCAAAATGAGCTCAAAATCTGGCAAAACCATGAGCTGACCTCTCCTTGACCCTTTTTCTTGCAGGGCTCTGTCAGGTTTCACTGTAAGAAGTCCCCCCTGCATTATGCCAACGTCAGCCCCCACACCGACGCCTGTTCCGCCACGGGACTGAACCAGATTCTACTGGAGAGAAAGAACCTCCTCCCAACATAGCTCCTGGCCACCTGCACGTGCTGTGCTCCTCTCCTGCAGGGATGGGCTGTCTGCAGGCTGCTGCTTTCACATCACTCAACGTCCACATCTGCTGCTACCTCACAGCTTCCTATATTGATCCATTTAATATAATATACTTCAAATTCAGAATGTGCGTGGGGGACATTCCTCCTCTCACACACACACAGCACTATCAGAACACTCAGCAGAACTGCCACAGATCAAATGCCTTAAGCAATCTACACTTGAACTGAACCCTTCCAGCACTACCTGGGAGAAGCAAGAGGTTGGTAAGGAGAGCAGACATTTCAGATACGTGCTGGAGCCTCACTGGGAGGAACAACTGCAGCTGCTGACTGACCACAGGCATCCAGTAACAACACAACACAGCCAGCTGTGACTGAGGCAGCAAGGAGCAGTCACCTGTAATACCCAAGGACATGTCTCAGGGAAAAGCAAGGCTGGACTCTTGTTTTAATCTACAGGACCAAAGCATACAGGCTCACCCAACTGCCACACATTTCCTGCCTCCCTCTGCAAGGCTGTGCACTCTCTCTCTGTTGCTCGTGTGGGCCTCAAAATGTTCAGCTCTTCTGTGTATGCCACTTTTAAATAAAATATTAAATACCTTTTAAAGGCATCTGACCATCCACAACAAGGTTTCGTTAACAAAAACATTTCAGATTAGTCTGTGGATTAAAATAAATGCAAATATATTTAATATTAACTGGTACTGGAAGCAACACTTCCCGTGGTTGACAGTATTTCTGTACCAACAGAAAGCAAGTCCACAGAAGATCAATTCCTAGAAATTTATCCCACATGCCTGTGTCACTGTTTATCCACTCCCAGTTGAAAATCAGAGCAGTGCCACCCATGAGCAAAGTGTGACCACTCCCCAGGGAAACACAGACTGGGGCAGAGCTCTTCTGCCAGGGGGGAACAGTGAAGGAAGTGATCATGTCCCCAGAGCAGCTCACTCAGGAAGAATGTTCTCCTTCTCTGGAGGCTCAACAATTCCCAAACAGCAGTCAGCAAACTCCACAAACAGTGGCTCCTGCATGTACTTCTTCATGAGGGAGCTTTTATCTTCTGCTTGATCGACTGTCAGCAGCAGTTGCCTGAGATGTGGATTCTGAAGCAAATTTCTCAATTCCTCTGACTCCCCTAAAAAAAAAA